TAAGAACTTTCCGGACAACCTAATAGTCCTCTATGCTTGTGACGGGGACTACCCTGTCCGGAAAATGTATCTAAACTTCGAGTGAACGCCGGTCGTGCCTTCAAGTCATTGACTATACATGGACTGAATTGTGTGCGTGGGCTCTTGAAAGAATGGTAGCGAGACAGGGAAACTTACAGATTACTCGCTCCTTTACTAACTATTCACTCCCCTTTTGAAGGCCTATGTGCAAGTCACGACAGCTCCCTCACTTACAGAGGAATGGTTCAAAATTCCCATGGAACCTTTAATGGAGACCTAGGTACCGATGAAATCTCGAGCGCTCATTACGAGTATGCAGATTAAAAGTGCTACGGGGAGCTCCCAGGCGACTTCTGGGTGGTCAAAGTTCGCGAAAAGTCAGTTTTGACTCGTAAGCGCAGCTGGTCAATTGTTTAGCACAGCCACCATAGCCTAGTGGTAATGGTCTCATTTCAAAGCCAGCTGTTCACGGGTTTACATCCTGTTGGCGCGAGAGCTTTTGCTTCGTCTCCTATAAGAGCTTTAACCCTAATTTTCGGATATTCCGAGCTTACGACCCAGCAGAGCAAGCAGATCAAGTGAATCAAGTATGTGGCCTAGTCAGTCGAGTATGGATTGATCAGTATCTGACACATTGCCCGTCCGACAGTTCGATGTTTTGCCCAGAATCGCAATGAAGCACAACAATATGCGAAATTACAAGCGTTTTTCCGTCAAACGGATTCAATATTCCTGTTCGGGGGGGTCAAAATGCTCCCAGAAACGGGTTGATCTGCTTGCTCTACTGAACCGTAAACTCGGAATATTCGAAAATTAGAGTAAAAGCTTTCATAGGGAGACGGAACAGAAATTTTGCGCCAACGGGATGCAAAACCACGAGCACTTGGCTTTGAAGCCAGACCGCTACCTCTAAGTCACGGAGGTAGTGCCCAACAGTCGATCAGCGGAGCTTAGTAGAAACCGAGTTTTTACAATTTTGACCGCGCCCAGCAACTTGCCTGGGAGACCCCCGTAGCACTTTTCATCTGCCTATTCATAATCAGCGTTCGAGAATCTATTGATGTACCTAGGTCTCCATGCAGAAATCCATGGTAAGTTCAAACCATTCCCTTGTCCGTAGTATCCTGCTGCTCGGAAAGGGTATACAGTGAACCTGCTATCTTCCACGTGTAATAGCTATGTTGCAAAAGTCCCATGGCTTTGAAGATTAGTATTCCACCGCGAGAATATGTTGCAATAGATATATGTTGCAATATGTACTGTTGCGAGCATGTGCCGAATTGGATGTTGTGTGGGGAATGCGAAATTTGGCGCCCCCGTGGTGAGCGGTTCTGTCGTCGCACACCTTTGCCGTTGCACGGGATATAGCTGCATACAAACCATTTTCTTGGCAATAACGCAAAAGCTGAATGTAGCAGGCAAACGGTATCAGAACTCCGCGGATAGGAGCTCGTTGGCTGCAGCTTTGCCTTCCAAAACCAGAGCCCAAGCTAAGAGCGCAGATGGCCAGATTCGCGGGCTACTCTGAAGGAGCAGACAGTCTCTCGGCGAATCCGTCCGTCTCCGTCCAGGACCGAAGCCTCGTCGAGAGGAGGGGAACCTGCCGTGGGGGTCTACTCTACATTAGGACCTCCAACATCATCTAATTGTCGCCAGTGCTCCGCTCAGCGCCAAAGAACGAAAAAATAGCAATCAGTTTGCGAAAGTATCACGAACTTCCCAAAGTAGTAGGGCGTACTCGAAGGGTGGGACTCGAAGGTTGGTGAGCAAAATGTTGATTCAAAGCGTAAAGTTCAGATAATGGTGAAAAAATACGAACAACGGCCTTGGAGCATATATTTGTTGCCTGCTGGGATATTTTGTCAAGGTATGACGCACCGATAGCTACCGTGAATGGTAGGAAAGACTAAATGGTACCAAAAGTAACATACAATACTCATTACAATCCACAATGAGAAGAAACAAGTTGCAGATAAGGTGGCATAACTTGGCTCGCAGCTGTGGTAGTATTTCACACCCGTTGAACGAAAGTGTGCGCAAATGGGCTGAAGGATTGTGATAGATGAATTCCGCTCTTTATCCACAACATTACGTATACAGTCCTCATCATTGCGGACCGGTGGGGCGTGTCAGTGCGGCTCCGTCTTCCGCGGTGATGAAGTCGTTCTGCACCAGTTGTTGAAGCGGGCAAGTGACATTACTGTATTATATCCTTCGTATTACTCGTTTTCTACCACTTTTTGTCGCATACGCGTTGCAACAAAAAAGGCTGAGAACGGCTTCAACAGTGTGCGCACTCCTACTGGCGGACACGCCCCACCGGTCCGCAATGATGAGGACTGTACACATCAGTGCCACGGTCTCGCAACGGACACCGTGACAAGCAAGCTGAGGCCAGGTGTGGCGAAAAACAAAACATGAGAGGACGCTGACAGAGGCACAGGAGAGGTAGCGCGCTTAACTATCGGCTTACGTTTGGCCGTGCGGCACGTTAAGCAGCGTTCATATTTCGCGACAGCAGCGGCGACCTCGGCGATCGCCGCGATCGTCGGTACATGGTGGAGCGCGCCCCAACGTAATTATTTGTGCTCCGAAAGCTTTTGGGAGTAAGCGACTCAATTTCATGCTTTTTTTCCTTTACCTGTAATTTCCTTAGGTACTGAAGCTCGGTTTGACGCAAGGAAGGTGAACCTAGCTTAATCGCTTTTGTTTTCAATTTTCTTTCCTATTCAGGATAGTAATGAGCAAAAAGCGCGAGAGCTTTATTTGAGGTAGACTTTATGGCTTCTTTTTTCATTCGTCAAGCTTATACATGAGGTCTACAAAGTTCCCACCTGTTGATGTTGCGTAAAATGATTAGTGTTTTGGTTCCTAGGAGAGTTTCTTTCTGTTTCTTTTTTTTCTTCGTTGTTTGAACTCGACTTGTAAACTATATAAATGGCTCTGGAAGTTGGAATAGTTCAGACGATAGGAACTTCCAAAGCGCCTGTATGAAGTGAAACAATAAAAACAAAACAAAAAAGAAGCTCACTCAGGGAAAGGAGTTGGCCTTATCCCGACCTAAAAAGAAGTGAAACCTTCTTACCTCATATTCCAGATCTGCTTATGTATAGAAAGTCGTAGCTTATCTGTTAGTAGCCCTTATTAAGAGTAAAGAAGGTCTTACAAGTTGGATTCCCTTATTCATCAGGCGAGCGGTCCATAATAGCGTTGGGGCGCGCGCTGCCATGCACCGACGATCGCGGCGATCGCCGAGGTCGCCGCGATCGCCGCTGCTGAATTATGAACGCTCCCTTACGTCCGCATGCTCTGCCCGTATGAGGAAGCATCTGGCAACCATCACCCTAAAACTTCATTTCGACGCAGTCTCGACTGACGAAAGTTTAGCGTTTGCAGACACACTTCTCTTGCCTATGGCGAGAATCACGATTCACCATACTGCGACCATGTTTGCAGCAAATCACATGCAGCAGTGTAGACAGAGCCTGCGACCTATAGATAGAAACGAAATGAAAGAATGAAAATGAAAATGAACTACTATGTAACTAAACACTTGCATGACTTCTCAACAAATGAACTTGAGAATTATAACAGCGAAAATTTGAAGCAAATAACTTGTTGCACGCATGAGAGTTCTGTCGAATTCTTGAGGCTTGTGCACAAAATCCTGTTTTAGCACATAAACTGCTCCAGAAAATAGGCTCTATCTGTTGCTGATATAATGGTATGAATTGGATGATTAGACTATATATCCTAACATGCGATTACTTCGTTTATTATTTTCGACGCAACCACAGTATGTGTGGTTGCGTCGAAACAGTATAGCAAATGATAGTAGAGGTGTTACGACTATCTTAAAGACCCTGTTAACCCACTTCGTACCGCGTGCGCAGCACGATGACTTTTCCGCTCCATCTGAATCATTTTGCATCCTTTTCTGCTACAAAGTTGCGAGCATATGTTTCGAACACGGAGAACAACATAAGTATGTGGGACCTCGATCGCTGAAGGAGCACTTGGATTATTGACCTCTTTCATGAAATACTTCAATTGCGATTGTCTTCATTTATTTTCCACATTCATAAAAACTCATAAACGATCAAGTAGGACCCCGTTGATGATAAGTGTGAAAACACTTAATGCAGAAATATCGATATTTCTACGAGCGACTCACTAAACGCCTTTCTTGTCGACCGTAATCTTTGAGGATTGACCTGATTTCGAGTCCCATTTGGGAACAATTCGCCAAAAACTTCAGTAGTTCGCCCTCGTCGAGATTAATCCAGTTTGAGTACTTTGCGATCGCATAACGATTGGTTTCTCTTACAATCAAATCAACGAGATCTTTTGTGAAAAACCGCCGGAAAAACGGGTACTGGTAATATAGATCATCTTCATCCAGTACACCACCGAAAAAAGTCAAACCGGTTCTACCTGCTGATATTTGGAACCATTGAGATACCTCCATCGGTTTTGTCTAAGCCCTCTTCGCTCGATTCCCAATCGCACTCGTCACTCGAATGAATTCACGCGGACAACCAAATCTTCTGGAGTCAGAGCCTTATTTCATCACTTTCAATCAGAAGTTCATCAAACGATCTACTCAGCGCGTCCATCATTGGTTATCTGGAACGGCTGCCATAAATTAGGCGTAGTTTCCCGAAAAAAGTAGCCTGGAGGAGCGAATTGATACGTTGAGTACACTTTGCTGCGGCGCGAGAAATACCGCTCTGCGTGGCCGCGTGCTGCACCATGTGCAGCACGCCGGCGAGGTTGCGAAATATGGCTCGGGCACACGCGGCAGCCAGCGAAAAAACGCCGAGGTACGCAATGGGCTTATTTATACCCGTGCTAGCATGTCATGTACACATATTCATTCGGAAGATAGTTAGTGGCAAAATAGTTTCTCGAGAGGAGGTCTTTCTGTTGCCTCTAACAAATCAACTACGATGTGAGTAAACAGATTTTCAAAAGTAATATTAACAACTTTGTAATTCCAATGTGTTCAAGCCGTCACTTCTCCAGTCCTTTTTCGTATGTTCTAGCAACTTGTGTCGACACCTGAAAAAGAGTGAAAACTAGCAACTTGTGTCGACACCTGAAAAAGAGGAAAATTATTGAGTGAAAAATCAATAAAACGCCCACATGACCCTATTTTCTGAGATACTCAGCGCACCTGTAGAGCTGAATTTCTACACCCATGATCCCTGCAAACGATAAGGCGTCTGACGGTGCCATGCTTGGAGCTTAACCAAGTCAGATTTTGCTGCAGTTATTTCTATCTTAGGATGTCAACACTGATGGAAAAGTTGCTTTCTGGCTCCGCTCCAAAATGCGCATTTGACGAATATAATGGGCCGTGAGTAGTACCTTGCCTTCATCATGAGCGGACAGCGCTATTATCACGTGTTTTTGGACAGCGAAAGTGGTACACCGTGGATGATTAAGGACCGAACACCTTGCCCAATAAAGGAGCCTGCACAGCCTCAGGTGGCTGCGAATCGTACCTCCAAGGAATATCAGATTGATACAAAAATGAAGCACCAACTGACGGATTGGTGGGATTCGACTTTGGCTCGTGTAGGTGTTTGATCGTGGTGTAACGAGCAATGATGTTGTTGTACCGCTCTACCTTATATCCAGCAAATTCGATCCTAAACTGTGTAGTTCTATTGTTGAATTTTCGAATGATGATGTACAGAATACTGGGCGGCTTGGTGAGGGCTTTCTGCTCGTTAGTATCAATCAGTGCTGATGCCTCTTCTGAAGACATGTTGAATTCGTAAGGCTGTGCATTAGCAGCAGCTTCGCGACTGGATTTTGCGGGCCTTTCTAACAATAAGGTGAGACTTCTGAGTCGAGAGGAATTGACTCTTGGAACTAGCGAGAGTACGAAACTCCCTCAAGGCCGAATAGCGCCGGATACTGTGATGAAACGGCTTCATTTTCGGAATTTTGGGGCATTCTGAGCGATATTGGGCCTCGATATTTCAAATTTTCATCTACGTTTTATATCATTATTTCAAAAATTCTAGGATTAATTTCACTTAGGGTATGTTTCACATCATGATAATTCACAATGAATATTATGATGAACACAAAAAAACCGTGGGATCAAAATAATGCGCTATTAAGAGTCAGGCAGGTAATAAAAGAGAGCTTTTTACGTGTTCATTCTCATAGATAAACTCTAGCTGCACCAGCGCATCACTTTTTTCTGGTCAAAAGGGCTCGAGAGGAGAAGTTGGAGGCTAGAGGGTAGCGATACCAAAGCGCTACTTCTATACTCCGGCCACGCTAACCTCAATGTGCAGCGCTTGAGTCGATATTAAGATCCCGCGACAACCGCATGTAAGCGGGTGCAGGAAAGTAGGGCAAATGGCACTGGTTAGGTGCGTAGTCGAAGGAGCAGCAGCGTGGACGGGTATGGAGACGACATCCAGCTGTTACCACTCATTCCCGTGCAATTTTCATCCGAGAAAGTGACACGTGACACTTGTTCTCACAGTGAAAAGCGGAATCTAATGAATTTCAAGTTTGTCTGCTGTATGGCAGTAGCGTTCCTACCTCCTATACATGTCGTCATCTTCGCCACCCCATCCCCAGTATCGATTTGAAAATCCATTCGTTCTCTTGAACTGATCCAACGTAAGTGCCGAGCTCATGCCAAACATCTCTTCATAGTGAAGCCTACAAAGTTGTAATAGGGAATTTACTATTCCAAGGATGAGTTTTTTCTATAAGACCCATCTAGTGCAACAGAAAATGACTGGTCCCCCTAGTAGAGTGACCTACTTGTAGTCAAATTTATTCACTGCTACTGCCATATGCCGTGGATTATTGGTAGGACAAGTGTGCAAATTACGGTCATCTTCCGGTAGAAGGTCCACATCATGGAACAGATAACATTGCCATTTGTAGATTTTGTTGGCCTCCATAAATCCAACATAAGCAACTAAACAATGAGGTTTGTCTAGTTTTCTCAAGAGTTTCGAGAGGCTCAGATAAATTCCCAAATAGCCCACGTGTTGTTAAGAATTTCACAGGCTAAAATGTTGCACAACCACGTATTTGTCTGAGTTACAGCGAATTGCAATATCTAGTATAGTATATCTCACTGTGAAACTCGAACTGGTGGTGGGAAATCTCTTCTAGCTAGAATAAATGCAATTAATCATCGCTTAGCTCCGATTCAAACGTTTTGATTTTGATTTGCTCCACACTATACATGGAATATCCCAACTTTTGTTTTGTGAGGAATCGGTGCATATTATTCAAAGTATACGAAGGTGAGATTGTCTGTCCCGATACGGAATGATTACTGCGATCTATAAACGCAAATTTAGTAAGGGCTAAACGAAGCGATTGATTACCTAAAGAGTGTTGTTTCAAAAATGCTCCAGTCTTACAGTAACTAATAACCTGCTGCCTTTCAGTCTGCAATTGCTTGTTTAACTAGGGCTAAATATGCGAGGTTGTTCAGTGCATAGCCGTCGCTAGGAGACTTGCGACAACGACCTGTCTCAGCAACGTTCCCGATGACTATAAAGCTTTGGTAGCTCGCCTTACTTCCACCACAGCTAAGCTATTTGAATGAGCCGTTTATACAGTGTCGGGCTAGGGCCTAACAAGAGATGGCCCGCGCAAGAGACGCCTCCGTACACGCTAGAGCGTGTGAAAATTGCAGGCCCAAACCCCTTAAGGTAAGGTAGGGAGAGGGGGGGGGGAACGCGCACCTGAAATGCTTTCAGTGGACCTGCCGCGGGTCATGCAAAAGCTCCCCTTGCGATGCGGAGGTATAAGCCGAGCACCCATAACTACCAGCCGAGACAGTAGCGGAAGGACACACCAGCTTTGAAGACATTCCTTATAAGGAAGGGTTTAGTAAAAGCACGAACAAAGAAGAGCTTAAAGACACATGGTACGCTCAGACACATTGAGGGTGTGTGAGACTAACAGCCCTCCCAGCTGTCGATGTGTCGTGGTCCCCCCGCTCAAACATGCCCAGGAATGGAGATACAGGACCGTGGGAAAGGCTTATTCTTGCATTCTCCGCCCAAATTGCACCGCCGCGGCGGCGAATGCAACATCGCGGCGCGTGGAATTTTGGCGGAGTAGCAAGGAATAAGCCTTTCCCACGGTCCTGTATCTCCATTCCTGGGCATGTTTGAGCGGGGGGACCACGACACATCGACAGCTGGGGGCTGTTAGTCTCATACACCCTCAATGTGTTTGAGCGTACCATGTGTCTTTAAAGTAAGCAAAGCATGGGATGACAAAACAATTAGTGTTAATTCATTAGCAATATTTGTGAAGTAATACAGAGAGAGGGAGAACATTAGAAACAAACAGAAAAGAATATTGGAAGAAGAAAACACTCCAAAACACAGATGGTCCGTTACGCCTGTTATCCCCAGACGAACCATTATTGTCTCGGAAACCCCCAGAGATACCTGCAGACTACAGAAAACGAGGAGCCTAGGAGAAGAGAAAGTGGTACGCAGCTGATCGCTTGTGACAGAGGAAGACCCGCGGATATGTGTCGTGATGGCTGTGGAATGGTGACGCTGTTTCCACGAGCGCCCGAGGCGAGCGCTTAACGCCGACTGACTTTGGTTAACGAAAGTGGAACTCACCCTAGGTGCGGCTTTCCCGCGCTTCATGCATTTCAGGATAGGACTCACGGGAGCGCTGGTTCCAACCGGCTCGCCATTAACCGACGAGACGGTTAATAGCGAGCCCGTAGGAACCAGCGCTCCCGTGAGACTCGACTCACGACATTGAGTTACGCGACTTTCAATGTATTTTCAATGAAACAAAATGATGATTGTGATCGTCAAATAATTTCAGAACTCCAATCGCGGAGCAGACTGCATAGGAGCTAGAACATGTGTAGCTGAAAAGTCCTCAACGGGAGATCGTATTCGCCTCTCCTCGCCCAGTGGCAGAGATTTCAGAGAATTCGGTAAAGTGGTCAGTCGGTTGTTGAAGGTTTTCAAACCACAGAGGAAATCCAGAGGCGAAATCGTATGTGACAGAAAGTTCCTTATGCTGAAAGGTACCCGAATCGAGGACTTTCCACTGTCGAAGTTTCTATAGCACAGCAACGACGCTGATCGAAAGATCGCCCGAAATTTTTCGAAAATTGTGTGTCGTATAAAGTGTTCGAGTGATTAAGGTGCTTTTCAACTACTCCTATTCTAGCAGAATGGAATCCTCCACGGGATTTACAATTGGAAATGAATTACTTTTTCCCGTCGTAAACTCAGTGGAGGCTGGTTCCTAGGAATGGCGCGACGCCAGCCCCTTTCTCACCACTGGCCGGAAGACGGGCTGACGCCACGCGATTCAGCTCCCTGACATGCCTCAGCGTCTGCAGAGAAAGCGATTATGTTTACTTGCTAATCCACAGTCACAAATAAATATAAAAGATGTTTCGACCACTTACACGGTTCGCAGCCCGACAATCGTCCGGAATATTGTGACCACCTGGCTCCAAGTAATTGTACATCTCCTCCAACTGCTTCCAAAGGGATTTCTTCGAAAGATACATTTATTCGGCCGACGAAATGGTCCGAACTTAATGAGCACTGTGGAATATCAGTAGCTCCTTCGGAATGAGTAGATGAATATGGATCTGAAAGCTCCATTCTGGAAAACGTTTGCATTCTTGAGGTGTGTGACGCAGCTTCCAGTTCCACTCCTGCGCTCTTTCGAGCGATGAAAGTGTCACAGTTCTACTGTTATTGAACTGCCCAACTCGCGCATGGGGAGGCTCACTTAAATCCTATGGCTATCGTTCAGCTAGCTTCCCAGATGGCTATTATATTCCCTTCAATTCTCACGCAAGGAATGAGAATAGGAAGATTTGGCTATGATAGAGGGCACTGGCACGTGGATTGCCTCTGTACGTGGATTGCCTGTGGGAGTACAGATTACAGCAGCATCAGCGAGAATTCAGTGTAGGAATCCCTTTTGAGAGTTTGTAAAACCAAATAGACGCTGTTCGGCTCGTGGTGGCGGAGGCACTTCTCTAGTTTCCTTTCGCTAATTCTTGTCAACTTGCCCATCTCACCATCACACCTGGAGACTCTTGTCCTGTAAAATGCTCGT